CCTTTAGGGATCATGGGCATCTCCATGAGAGCAGAGCCAGTAAGGACCCTGCAGGCGCCTTGACCCTGACTTGTGCCGTGGCCTACTTAGAGGTCAGAGCAGACAACACTAGTTTAGTGTTTCTGTTGATTATATATGCTTTTCATTTCTCTTTATTAGTTCTGTATCACACCTATGACTCTAAAACATTGATTATTCATACCATCTTTTCAAGTTATCATGTATAACGATTTACGTTTGTTGCTTTATTTTTATGATGTATGGGGGGATTTAGGAAACACTTTAGTTGGAATTGTAATCCAAAGAGGGCACTACATCTAGGATTGACAGTTAGTAGAGATATAGCGTTGTACTCTTTTGGTGGTGAGAGTGGTTCCAAATGACTGCCGGAAAGAGCCATCTTTCACATATAACGTAGGACTCATTTACTCACACTTAGATTTATTAGTGAGGTAGTTTTTAGACCAAGTAAAAGGGGGAAAGTGTTGAAGATTAATTTCTTTTTATTTTAGTTTCTGTTCATAACTCTGTCCACTCTTCCGTGTGGGTCAGCCAAAATGGACATTCTTATGCTGATATATGGTGGCCAGAGCAGCTCCAGCATTACCTTATAGGGTAACGATGTAGGCTATGATTAGGAAAAGATGCTGACTGGGGACTGTGGGAAACCCTTCCTGATTGACTTTTAGATTAAAAAGGAAAGTGAGCTCTCTGCCTTTCAGTGGGGTCTTCTCTAAAATGGCAGGAAGGTAAGGGCCTAAGGGAAGATGAGATTTTCCTTTGCTATTTGCGTTTGTTTAAATTATTTTGCTAAACATGGCTGGAATAAATTCTGTTATTACTTAACCATGTTTCCTCCTTTGTTTACGCTATCTGAGAAACAATACCTCGATTGGATTTGGACCAGTAATAAAAGGGTTCTACAATAATATGATGTGGTACCATACAGAGGTGGAAAGTAACGAAATACTCAAGTTTCTGTATTGAGTAGGTTTTTTGTGTATTTTGTAAGTAGTTTTTAAAATCGGTAATTTAAATTTTACTTGATTACGTTTCGAGTGAAGTATTGTATTTCGTTACATTACAAATCCCATCCGTTACTGAGTAAAAAAAAACTTTGGAAAACCGAAAGGAAGACAAAAAATCAGGCCCGGAAGCACTAGAGTGAGTGACGTGACCAGCATATAGATCTAGGCTACCAGGCGCCAAGTCTTTCTGTAGGAGATTGGGAAAGAGATGGAGGTGGATCAGGAGAGCAACGACGATTCAGAGAACGTTTCACTAGAAATGCTAGCTGAAACATCGAATTCTGCTGCCCAAAATGACAAAAATCCTTGGCCACATTTAAAAGACTGCTTTTCATTTAAATTCAAGAGGGCCAACAGTATCATCATGCAATGCCAGATGTGTCTGCCAAAGGTGACTGAACTGGCAACATTCAATACCTCCACATCTAATCTGTGGAAGCATGTTTTGGTAAGTATTTAGTGCCTTGGTACTTCAAACAAAGTTTTCATGACTAATAGCCAATTAGCAAAACAACCTGTTTCGTGGCATTGCTAGTTTTGTCTAGCATAGGGGACGGCAACCCGCGGCTCCGGAGCCGCATTCGGCTCTTTCATCCTTATACTGCGGCTCGAAGTGGCTTGGGAATATAAACTGCTAAAAAAAACTAAGTATTTCATTTAAGTCAGTGTTTCCCGCAGCACTATCTTGGCGAGGTTGGCAACAGTTTTTTTTTTAAATGTAACTAAGTAACTTTTACTTAAAATACATTTTAAATTAGCTACTTATTACTTTTACTTGAGTAATTTTTCTGATGGGTAATTTTACTTGTACTTGAGTAATATTTCATCCAAGTATTGTTACTTTTACTTGAGTATGATATTTTTGTACTTTTTCCACCTCTGGTACCATAATACCCCAACCCTCACCTATCAGATCATGATAATTTCCTTGCCCCTGACAGAAATCAATACATATTGAGTTGCTTATGTGAGAATACACTAACTCCAGCAGACAAAATTCTGCTATATTAAAAGCACAATTTATAAAAGGCATTCAACATTTTATCATTCACAGCAAGACTTCCAAGGTACACTTCCTGTCTAAATATTGAACAACAATGAAGATAAATAATGTTGTTTTTTCTACCCTAAATCAATTGCAATTCAGTTAGTGAGAAAATAGCAATAGCACCACCATGGAACAAGGTCTTCCAATTAGTAAGCTGTGTAGATAAAATTTACTTAAATGTGTTTAACAATTAGAGCAGCAATTCACTATATTTGAGAAATATTTCAATTGACTGAGTAGACAATACTGACCTTGATCAGATGCAATAATTCTTACTCACTTTAGGTAAGAGTTAGTCTTTTGAGCCTGACAGGATCTTAGCATTCCCTCTAATATGTCTTATGGAACGGTCCTTGGTAAAGAAGTCCTATTTTACTGCATTTCAGCCATAGAATAGTTGTCTCATCTCATCCAAAGCTGAACTGGTCTGCAAGCTCTCCAAAAAAATGTTCTAAGTCTGTTTTCAGAACATAAGTATGGATACCCTGATGCATCTAAGGATGTTGACACAGTCCTGATTACAATGAACAATCAGTCTGTGTTTGTTATTAGTTAGTGGTATAATGTGATTGTAAAGAAATTCTAATGCAATTTTCAGCAGAGCCTGTCTCTATGCAACCAACGCTAAAGCTTGCTCACTGGTGCGCCCCATTTCTTTTTAAATGAAAACATTGCTACTCAAATTGTATTTTTTGACAATAGCAGAATATCTAAGACTTTTTTGCATTTTTGTAATGGAAACATGTTTACTGACAAACAAAGCCCAATGCAATTTCAGGCTTTTGCATATATTTTGTTGTGCTGTCCAAAGAATTCCTGTTAATAGTTGTTAACCTCAATCTCAGATTTCATAGCATTTTGGTATGCTAATAGCTACTTAAAATCCCACTTTGGCATTGTCTTATTAGGCAGCATCGTACTTCCTAAGGTTAATGGCTATGAGTTATTTCGAGGGATTTCGGTGGCACAGCGGGTAGCGCTGTTGCCTTGAAGAAAGAAGATTCTTTTTGCAAGGAGTTTGCATGTTCTCCCTGTGCATAGGTGAGTTCTCTCTTGGTATTCTTGCTTCCTCCCACAGTCCAAAAAAATTACTGTTAGGTTAATTGGGTTCTCTAAATTGTAATTAGGTGGGAATATGTGTGTGCATGGTTGTGTGTCTTTGTCTTGCCCTGCAACATACTTGCGACCTGTCCACGATGTAACCCGCCTCACCCCCATAGACTGCCGGAGATAGGCACCGGCCCCACTATAACCCTGACAAGGACTAAGCTGGAGAAGATGGATTGATGGTTGGAGTTATTTTGATTTAACTGCAAAACATGAGCAATATTTAAGTAAGTGAGCATCTTTTCACATTGCAGTCACAGTACTTTTGTTGATTGAAGAAACCCACATCTGCTTGTTTAAGTCTATGAAAAGAAAGTCTGCTTTCAAAGTTTTACATATAAATTTGATTGTCCTGATTGATGTCATTAGTCTTACCTGAACCTCTGCAGTTCCTTCCCAGAGTATAGGAAAAACAGCAATGTAAGATCCATTGTGATGATCGAACACTTGTCCTGCCACACCTGCAAGAAGACCATGGTTGTGCATCCGAGCAAGTAAGAAATCTCCCCCTGACTTCTTAGGTAGACCTTGGAAGTCATGCATTTTTATCAAGACCATCAGTTGATCCCCTACATGCCAACTTCCTCCTTTGCTCCTTGGGAGAATGGTGAAAGTGCTGTGAGCAGGATCACTGGTGTCATTTAGAACAAGTTCAGATGATAATGATGGTGTTTCAGGCCAGGCAATGTATTCCTTTAAAAAGTTTATCTCCGGGGCATCTTCTGGTGACACAGAATGGAAAGAGCAGTCACTGGCAGGATCAGTGGAATGTATCAGAATTGTAGCAGCAGGTACTGATGTCACGTTGGTATCCTTTAAGTAGATAAGTTTAGAGATTAAACAAATGAAGTGCCTTACATTTATAGTTTTGATGAAAACATACTGATTAATTTAGAAAGTTACTCCTGTAATCGGTTAATGAAACCTTCAGAATGACTTTATGTGAGGTTCAATAAACCTAGTATTAACTTGACAAATTCTGTTCTCTTTTACACACTTGTAAAGATCCATAATCCTTTCCATCTTTAAGTCAAAAGGTAACATTTCATATTTCAAAATCTTTATTTTTCTAACCTTTGGGTGTATTATCTTCTACTAACTTAAAGGATAATCAATTAAACCTAATCCTTTTTCTCAAAACAGGACTATTTTCCAATACTTAATAAGATACAAACACATCAACATAGATGAGGACAGGGGGCTGGGAAACATTGTAGGTGATAGATATGATTCTCAGATGCAAGACATTCTCCATGCACTTTCCCTTTATCAGATTTTTGATTTACATGTCTATTTTCAAGTTGTATTTCAATTTTTGGTTTAAGTGTGTGTCTGCATTGTTCAATGATTTTGTGTGTCTCTATGTTGCCCTCTGACAGACTTGGGCCCAACCAGGGTATACTCCGCCTTAAACTAATTGACTGCCAGAGATAAGCACCAGCCCCAATGCAGCCCTAACGGTGTAAGTGGTAGAATTTGGATGTGCGGATTGATGGATTTATAGTTTAAAAAAAAAATCCACTGGACTTTGTTTCCAAGATTTGAAGATGTTTCGCTACTTCTCCAGGAAGCTTTCTCAATTCAAATGTCTGGATCCGCAGTGAGTTTGAGTCTTTTATATAGACAAGGCATTGTATTGCTTGGAAACATACAAACGGAAACCAATGAGTGGGTCGTTTGGTTCCATTGTTAGCCTGTAATATCTGAAACCTGTCTATGATTCTAAAGATTGGTCGTTAAAGGGGGAGATGTCTCCTGTAATACCTGAAACCTGTCTATGATTGTTAAGGGTCGTCGTTAAGGAGGTATTGTTCCCCGGCTGGAGCAGGGAGGTACTTTGTTCCTCTGTGATGGGGTGGGGGGTGTGGTGATATCTGGAAGGGATCATCTCTATAACTGAAAAGCTTCCAAAAACTTACAATTCAGTTATAGAGATGATCCCTTCCAGTTAGTTAGTTCTCTGCATACTACCTTAGACAATGTAGCCCTTTTGAAAAAGTCATTCGGGAGAGGCTCAGTGTAGAGCCGGTTCTCCTCCACATCGAGAGCAGTCAGTTGAGGTGGCTCGGACATCTTCTTCGGATGCCCCCTGGACGCCTCCCTCGGGAGGTGTTCCAGGCACGTCCCACCGGGACGAGGCCAAGGGGACGACCCAGGACACGCTGGAGAGACTATGTCTCTCGACTGGCCTGGGAGCGCCCAGGGCTTCCCCCAACAGAGCTGGAGGAGGTGTCAGCGGAGAGGGAAGTCTGGGAGTCTCTGCTTAGTCTGCTGCCCCCGCGACCCGGTTCCGGATAAAGCGGGAGACGAGTACGACCCTTTGTATAGCAAGATCAGCCTATTTCTCCTCATTAATAGATGAGAATAAGAAAACTCCAAGATTTATTTTTAATACAGCTACCAAATCTACCCAGAGACGTAGCCAGTCCAGCCCTATAAATAATACTTGTTTATCTCTGGATGGGGAGGCAGCATCAGGGGTGACTATAGATTCTGAACCGGGTTTAGACTGTTTTAATCCTGTTGAACTTTGTTGAACTTTCAGAGCTAGCAAAACTATTATCTTCATGTAAGCCTTCAACTTGTATGTTAGATACAGTTCGAACCAAGTTATTTAAGGAAGTATTACCTCTGATTTCCTCCTTAATTTTAGATGTGATTGATATACACCTGTTACAGGGATAAGTACCTAAGGCTTTTAATGTACCTGTAATTAAACCTTTACTTCAGACACCGTCTCTTGACCTAGATGACTTGGTCAATCATAGACCTATATCCAATCTTACTTTTTTATCTAGAGCTCTTGAGAAAGTATTTGCAAAATAAGTGTGTGACCACTTACACGATATTAACTCTTTGAATAGTTTCAATCTGTTTTAGAGCTCATCATAGTACTTAAAATGATCTGGTTAAAGTCACTGATAATGTCCTTATGGCCTCAGATAATAGACTTGAATCTGTGCTTTTCCTGTTAGATCTCAGATCTTGGCATTTGATACAGACTTGAATATCTAGAAATTAAAGGAACTCCAGCAGGCTGGTTTAAATCTTATTCATCTGACAGATTCTTTTTTTTTTCATGTTAAATCTTCTTCATGCTCCAGGGTTATCTGTGGAGTATCAAAGGGATCAGTTGTAGGGCCAATTCTCTTTACTACCCGTATTTTCACGACCATAAGGCGCACCGTACTAAAAGGCACAGTCTCAGTTATGTGTGCCATTTCTGTATTTAACACACACATAAGGCGCACCGGACTATAGGGCGCGTTTTTTATATACATGTACATGTCCTCTACTATGTTTAAATACCTCTACTGCGTATTTAAAAATAAAGGGGGAGCAAAACTGAGTATGATTGTGCTTTATTCATGTATTTATTACAAAGTATTAATCAAACCTGGGAGCTGGCCGTGAGACAGACACATCGCTGATGACACAGAGCGCTGTGATCACTCCTCTGAAACAGTCGATTGACGCATAAATTAACTTAAAATCCTGAAACCTGCCGACAGAATATGTTCGCTTTTATTATCCTGGTGCCTGCAGTTTAGATTATTTAGATGAAAAAACCTACCAGCCGCCACGGTGAACCGCGAGGAGGCGACCCGGCCAGAGGCTGCTGTTGAAGGGATTCCTACTGTTGGCGCACCACTGGTATGTGGGGGTCTGAGCGCCTCCGACAGAAATAGTATTAGAAGGCAGGATGATAATCTGGATGAACTGACTGCAATGATTAAGTTTTCTGGTGGATTTTCTCACTTAAAAACATATTAAAACTACTTTATTCCCACTGATCACAGCAAATATAGCTGCAAGGTGTATTTATTACAAAGTATTAATCAAACCTGGGAGCTGGCCGTGAGACAGACACATCGCTGATGACTCCTCTGAAACAATTTATTGACGCATAAATTAACTTAAAATGCAGAAATCTGCCAGCAGAATATGTTCACTTTTATTATCCTGGTGCCTCCCAGATCAACTCCCAGATCAGTTTCTCTGATTGGTTGATGCGGCGCATCGAGCAGCAAAACTTAAAGTTTTCCATCTCGAGCAGCAGCGCGTTTGCGGCGCGTCAGATGCTTAAACGCTCCCGACGCGCTGCTCCTGCTGCTCAATACGCGCTGCAGGACCTTTTGCATGTAGGTGTAGGTGCTTCTGCTGCACTCCTGCTTTATGCAGAACTGCATAAAGCATAAAGCTGCATAACTGCATAAAGCACATACCTGTTATTTTATACACAATCCACGCCCACACTTCCCCCTTTAACGTTCTCATGGTGGTCTCAAACGTCTGCAGTAACAACACACATAGGGCGCACCGCACTATAGGGCGCGCCGCACATTTTGAGGGGGAAAAAAAGACATTTATATGCGCCTTATAGTCGTGAAAATACGGTAAATATGTATGCTCCCAATTGGTAGAATTATTAGACAGCATGAGATTCATTTCCACTCTTATGCTGATGATACTCAGTTATATCCTTCTATTAATCCAGATGAAAGTTAGCCATTACATAGACTACAGGCATGTCTTGAAGACATAAAAACCTGGATGACTCTTAACTTTCTGCTTCTGAACGCAGACAAAACAGAAGTTGTTGTCTTTGGACCAGAGTCTTTAAAAAATAAGGTGATTAGTCAGTCACTTCATTTGGATGGGATTAAATTGACTGAAAAATAATGGTGTTATTTTTTTATCAGGACCTGTCATTTAAATCCTATATCAAAGAAGTTTCTAGAGTGTCCTTCTTTAATATCTGGAATATTGCAATATTTATTAAATATCTTATTCAGGGATGAAATTAGTCCATGCATTTGTTACTTCAAGGTTGGATTATTGTAATTCTTCACTATCTGAAAGTCCATAAATTGTAGTTAAAAGACTTCAGCTGATCCAAAATACTGCAGCCATCCTATAGTATATCAGAGATGTGACTGTTCCTTGTGTTCCCAGCGGTGCACTTCGCTCTTAGTCTGCAGGTTTACTAGTAGTTCCAAGAATTTATGAAAGACAAATGGGAGATAGACAGGGGCGTTGCTAGGCACAACTTTAAAAATAAAAAGTTTCCTTATACACATTCTGAAGTAATCATTAATTCCTAGGTTTCAGAGTTTTAGTTCAGGGGAAAGTTTAACTCAACCCGAACTAAGTTTTTCTTTTAGTTTTTGAGCATTAAATTGTACCTCCTATTTTTCATTTTTGCAAAGCGGTCAATCACTAGACTGTGCTTAGAAAGTTCTTCCTTTTCAACTGATAAAATAGCCAGATGATGGAGCCTGCCTGTCCCATTGTGCACCTCAGCCAAGTGTGGATCCTTCTCAACACACTGAATGACCTTTCACAACTACAGCTGTTG